TGGGCCCGCTCAGCCTCTCCCCTTAGCCTCCACTCAGGGCCCATCCAGCCTGGTTTCCTTCCAACCTTGGCTTCCCTGCTAGCTCATAGGCAGAATAAGGGACATTCGGCCATTAATATCAAGTTCAACAATAAATCTGTGTAAGGACAGTCCAGGCTGGTAATTAAATATACATTCTTTAGCCTCTGTCCTTCAGAAAGCAATGTTTCTGATTCAAATGTCACCTCCTCCAGGAAGTCTTTCCTTGTCCTGCTAGTAGTGATCACTTTTCATCTGCTGTCCCATACTGTCATGTTTGTGTACTATGACAGTCCTGAAAGCCCTCACTCTGTCCTGCCTTGCACATGTCTGTCTCCCTACCTTACCGCTAGACCCTGAAGGCAATAAACCCTACCCTTGTGCTTCTTGCATTTCCCTACTACCAAGCAGAGACTTGCTGACCGTAAGTTCCAGTGAATGTTTACTGCATTGAGCTAAATTGCCTTTCTAAATCCCAAGGAAAGATCAAGAAGGCAGCAGGGCTAAGGAAATAATTAATCATGCATTGATAAACATTGTTCTCTCTCCTTTCCCTCCCCCAAAACAGCTGTGGAGGGACCTCCCCAAGCCCAGCCTGCTGAGAAGCCTCCTAAGAAAGAATGTGGCCTCCTCTGTCTCCCTCCTGGAGGGATCTGGATGGGTCACATCTCAGAAGGGCAGAATTAGGGCCCTGAGACCAGGAGCAATGAATGAAGTCACACAGCCTACTGGTGGCAGTCACCCTGGGAAGCACTGGCAAGGACAATCCCTGTGCCCTGCAGGAGGAGGAGGGCGAGTCAGTTCCCAGGATACCGAGCTTCTGGGCAGACTTCCCACAGGCAGGGCTGGAGAGGGGTGGGCTTTTAAGATGGTGGAGATGTAAAGCAGGGTGGGGGACATTGTACTACCCAAAGCCTCTTGAAATGACATCACAAGGATCACTCTCAGATCCTTGAGGAAGCTGTTCCATATGTCAAGGCTTCAGCTGGGGACATTTCTTGGGTTGTTTTTGCTGTTGTTCTTGTTTTTGAGACAGGGTCACCCAAGCTAAAGAGCAGTGGTGTCATCATAGCTCACAGCAACCTCCAACTCCTGGGCTCAAGCAAGCAATCTTCCTGCTTGAGCCTCTCAAGTAGCTGGGAGTACAGGCGGGCACCATCACACCTGGCTCATTTTTCTGTTTTTGGTAAAGATGAGGTCTCACTTTACTCAGGCTGGTCTCAAACTCCTGAGCTCAAGCCTTGGCCTCCCAGAGTGCTAGTATTATCTGGGACATTTCTAAGAGAACTCCAGAGCTGCTACATGGATGAGTTTCAGGCATGGAGCCTGATTTTGAGTTTGAAGCCCCACTCATGAAGCAAGCCTCGCTGAAAGAAGGGAATGAGTTAGGACGCTTACCCCTCTTCAGATCGTATCCTAGGGTGGTAGAGAAAAATGCTCTGGTGCATTATCCCCTTGGCAAATCCCCCAAAGTCAATGAGTTGCAATCTCCCACAGCCCAGAGGACTCCCAGAACCCGCTCTTTCTCATGCAGGCAGTGGCAGATGCTTAAAAAGGTTTTTGGACATCAGTTTTCAGCAAAGTATAGCCAGGACCTTACGTAAAGTCAGAAGATGCTTAAAGCCTATCATTTTGTCTCATCTATATCAAAAACTTTCAAGCTAAGAAAACCAACCTGTGAGCAAATATTAATTTTAGTGAAAAGACAATTCATGGTCCAGAGTTGTACTGGATCAGACCTGCACAAATCCAAAAAGCCTGAGGTCCCCAAATTCCCTCAGAAAATCAAAGCTGTTTCCCTCCTGAATCTTGATGCATTGCTAGAACCAGAGTAGTGCAGGCAGAAATCTCCTCCTCTGGCTGTAACAGCCCTCGTGTGCCCCCCACCCAGCCCCCAGGGGTCAGACAGCCATTTTACTGCAGTTTGGGCATCATTTCCTATTGTGTTAGTCACAAACCATGCTTCTGCCAGGGCACAAGTGCTGCTGGCTAAAGTTTCCAGAGAAACCTGGGTCCCTGCTGGGTGTCGCCCTAGGGAATTTTCAGGCAACCTCTACACACACGCACACACACACTCGGCTCAGGCCTGCAGGGCCCAGGTTTTCCAGAGCAAAGGTAGGACCCAGGGTGGAGAGTGCTGGGCTAGCTGGAAGAGACCAGTGAGTAGTGTCACAGTGGAGCCTGCTGGGCTCGCAGGGCAGTGCAGCCAGGTGGATGCAGGGACGAGGGCACAGGGAAAGATATCACGCCTCCTCTCTGTAAGCTTTCAGCATCCGGAAGAGGAGCCTCAAACCCCAAAACCCACATTAGGCTTGAAGGGCCACAGACTAGGAAGGACATCTGGCCCTGGGCTCTCAACTCAAGCAGATCTCCCTCAGCACTGAGCTGTCAACTGGGCCCACAAGGGTTTTAGAGTGTTCCAGATGACTGGCACAGGGGAGGCACACAGGGGTCTCCCAAGCAGGAACAGAAGCTCCTACTGAAAGTGAGCAGCTGAGTATCCAAGGAAATAGGCAGGAAATGCCTTGGCCACACCTTTGCATAAATTATCATACTCAACTTGCAGCCAGACACCCCTGTCCCTCCCATCCTTAAACACCAACCATATGAATGTGCCTTCTCCCTTCCCCTTCAGTAAGTAGGCATGGGGCAAAACTGTCAGTGCATGGGGCAGCCATACCTCAGGGGCTGAGGTCTCCAACAGGAGGTGGCAGGAGCAAGGGAGGGAACATGACAGAAGAGAGAAATGGTACTGAGGGGCACTCCCAAGCCTCGGAGTTGGTCTGGGGTGTGGGAGGAAGAGGGGGTCCCAAGGCTATGTGAGGATGATGAGGAAGAAGGAGAGGCCTTTGACAGAACCAGAGACGTAAGGAGTTTGGGGCAGAGCATGCTGAGTGTGGGTAGCTACCCCCCACAAGCTATACCCCTGATTTCTCTTTAGAAGCCCTCCAGGCATCTTCACATGGCTTCTCTTTCTGCTTGGCCGCCTCTGCCCCTAACTCCCCCTCACCCCATCCCTTTCATTCCTTCTCTCCAGCACCTCTTGAAGTCAGAGAGTTCCTGGTTCCTGATGTCCCTGGGCAGACACGAGAGTGGCCACCTGCCTCTGCTCCCCACACAGAAACACTGTGTCCCAGTCCCACCCACCTTCCCTGCCCCCAGCTAGGGTCCGAGGGATGCCTGTCAGAGGCTCAGTATGCCTTGCCCAGGGGCTGCGGGAGGCCCAGCCACCTAATCTGCCTGGAGCCGTGCACAGCCTGCACCAGCCATGCCCTGTCTAGACAGATATGAGCTCTCTGTCCTCAGGAACCCCCAGGCCCCAGAGCAGGGCTGCGCTCCAAAGGCAATTCTTCCCCCTGCAGGTGAGGCTGCTTTGGTGGCCAAAACCAAGCGCATATTGGAGCCATTTCCCATTTAGCTGGCAGTGAGTCACCTGAAGTCTCTGGGGAAAAAAGATAGGGCTCTCTGGTAGGCAGAATTTTTATATTTTAATCATACTTTTAAAAAACAAAGGGGTAGTTGGAGAAAACAGGCGACAGAGTGGGTGGCCACTTGAGACAGGGAGAGAAAGATCAAAGCCCACCAAGAAAGGCGCGAGCAGCCTGGGTGTGGCCTAGGGAACAGTCTAGGTGGCCCGTGCTGCATGAAAGGCATCCAGGGGACAGGAGACACTGGGCGAGGGATGCCACAGTTGCAGCACCCCATGCTCCTGCTCCCCTACCCCCTAAACACCCCAGCTAAGGGTTTTCAACAGGAATAAACACCTGCTTCCAAGAGACGTCCAACCCAGTCCCAGTTTCCTGAGGGGCTGCCACCTCTCTGTGTAGGAGGTGAGCCTGCCCAAACTCTGGTCTCCGTGCTGCTTTCTGTTTCCAACAAGCTGGAATTCCTCTCTCTAGACTCAATTCTTCTGGCGGCTGCCCCTCCACAATCCCTGCCCAGGGCAGCCAGCCAGGGACACTCTCTATTCTCAGGCTGACTAGTTGGCGCATTAGGAGACCACACGTGACTGTGAGGCAGGGAGTCCATCAGGTCAGTCTCAGGGCTTCCTCCTGCGGCCCAGCCCCCTACATTTGCCCAGTGAAAACTTTCTACCAAATGCCCTCCCCAATCTAGGATGACCTCCCAATTTAGGATGACCAGGACCCAGAGACCAAAGAGGGAATGGAGCTTGCCCAAAGAAATAGTAGTTCTCAGTGGCTGAGGCTGGACTGGGACCCATGTCTCCAGACTCTCAGCCCGTATCTTCCCACTTCACAGTGCTGGTGTGCAACATCCCACTCTTGACCCTGGGTCCTACCTTTGCTCTGGGAGGAGGCTGGGCTCTAAGAGTCTAGCTTTTAGAGCCCTCAACCTATTGTAAACTAGTCGGACCTACTCCATCCTAGTAAGGTCTTTCAAAGGACCTTCCACTGCTGTTCTATAGAAGCTAGGGAAACTTCCAAGGTGCCAGGCAATGGGACATCATTGAGGGGGCAGCACTATAGGGAGGAATTCCAGGACCCAATCTCTCCTCCCTTCTAATTTGGAAAAGCCATAGGAAGCCCACATTCCCTGTCCGGTCACCAGCGTATCCCCTATGTGATCTGCCAGATTGTCGCTTCCCTTGGTCAGCATTGTGGTGACTTGGAGCCCAAGAATTAGCTCCATCTAGGCCCTTCCTTAGGACAAGATTAAGGAAAAGAGTAAGAGAGACAGCTCCCTCCCTTCTTCCCAAAGACCAGGCAGGAGAAGAGGACACAGTGCCAAAGGCCTCAAGATGAAGTCATGGCCAATCAGTCTACACGAGCTTCTGCCCCACACAGCCTCCATTTCCCTGCCCTGTCCCCAGTGGCTTCCCCACCCCCAACCCCACCACCCACAAGACATGAACCAGGGGATCATGTAAGCTAGAAAAGAAGTCCCTCTCTTTGAACAGACTGCCAGTGGCAGGAGGATTTGCATCTCCAGAATCCTCCCCAAAGTCCCCTTCCACATCTTACCTGATGAGGTCAATAGGTTGAAACTTGTAAAAGACTCCATATCGTGCCCATTCTTGATACAGCAGCTAAATAAGAAAAATAAGGCAATAGGTTAGTGGTAGAGGTGGAAAAATGTTCATCTCATTTTCCGTATCCTATTCATCTCATTTTGCACATCCTGGCAAGTCAAAGGTTTTATCACCAAAGCCCAGCTTCTAGGAAATTCTCATGAGACATCCACAAGGGAGATGTCCAAAGAAAGGAGGCTAGAGGAACTGGCTTTTTCAAGGTGATCTTTATCCCACTCCAAGGTAGACCTGCAACCAAAAAGAAGCAGAAGTGTGGGGTGTCCTAAACCCAAGCATATTTCCTTGTCTTGCCTAGTCCAGCAAAACAAGCCCTGGCATTCATTATTCACTCATTAACAAGCATTTATGGAGTATCTCCTATGTGCCAGGCACTGTCTCCACACTAGTTACAGCAGTAGACCAAAGTCACTGCTTATACTCTGGTGAGGAGAGACAAATACAAACACATAAACATATAAGATTCATAAATGCTATGAAGAAAAGTAAATCAAGGTAAGGGGGTAGGATGTGAAGGAAGGGAAGGGGCTATGTCAGAAAAGATGGCCAAGGAAGGCCTCTCTGGGAAGGTGACATTTGAGATGAAGGAAGTGGGGAGTATCCAGGCTACAGAACACTCTTCCTGTGCAAAGGCCCAGCGGCAGGTGTATATGGCATGTCCTGGAAAGAACAGCAAAACAGTGCAGCTGGCACAGAGTGACCATGGGGGGAGCCATGGGACACAATGTCAAAAGGGACCAGAATCACTCAGGGGTATATAGGCCATGCCAAAAGCTCTGGACTTTAAAGGAATCCAAAGTCCTTTGCAGTAGAGGAAAGATTTTTAGCAGGGAAATTTGCAACAGAAGAGAGAAACAATCTGATTTCAGTCAGTGGGACACAGGCAGGAAGTGGAGGGAGGAAATAAATAAAAGACTTATTCTGGCTGCTATGTAGAGAATAGACTGAGAGTGAGCAGGGGCCTCAGGAGGCTACTGAAACGATCCATGCAAGAGGTAATGGGAGCTTGAACTATGGGGCAATGAGAGACATAGTGAGAAGTGGCTGATTCTGTTTAGATTTTAAAGGTAGAGCCAATAAGATTAATTGTTGGATTGAATATGGGGTGAGAAAAACTGAGAACTTGGCCTGAGCTATAGAGTAATGGCAACACCTTTTACAGAAATGGAAGAGACTGGGGAGAACAGGGCAGAAGGGGTAGAACCAAGAGCTCATTTGGGGATGCATTAATCTGAGATGTTCTCTAGGCATTCATGGGGCTTGTCAAGTAAGCATCTCGAAATAAAACTCAGAGTTCATAAGAGAGTCCAATAAATTTGGGGGCTACTAAAGAAGAGATTTATGAAATCCTCAAACAGTGGATATAGTCCCCAAGGAGGAGAGAATAGGTAGGGAAGAGGCCTGAGCTCTGGGCCCTGGGTGCTCTACTGTTCAGAGGCCAAGGGGATAGGGACGAGCTAGCAGAGGACATAGAGGCAGCAGCTGGTGGTGTGAAAAAGAAGCAGAAGTGTGGGGTGGCCTGAAAGCCAAGGGAAGAAAGGTTTGGAAGAGAGGAAAATAATCTGTGTCAAATGCCGATGCAGGTCAGGTCAGATGAGAACGGAGAAGCGCCCACTGGATTCAGGGACTGAGGTCACCAATCACCTTGGCAAGAGCAGCTCCAGGGGAGGGGAAACGGTGAAACCTGCGTGGAATGCAGCCAGGAGGTAGGGGGAGGAAATGATGCAGCACACACATCTCAGGATAGTTTTGCAGTAATGTTGGCAGAACTAGCACGCCCAGCAAGATTTACTGATCATCTACCAGTAAATAAAGTAATTTAGTAATGGGCTATCATTAGACTTCATCTAGATATCCACGCTGAATACACCTTGGCACCTCGTCAAATTATATGTCAAGAATGAATAGACTTAGGAGATGGCAGCTACTTTGTTACACTCTTTATGCTCCTGACACATCACACAGAATTTGCACAGAGATCTGTCCAGGTGAACCGATGCTAATTGGGTGTTCTGAATATCTATTGGGACATCAGCTTTACAGAAAACCATCGTGTTCATCCAAGAATATTTAAAGACATGATAAAACTGGAATGAGAGCCAGCATTCCTACTTAATGGCTATAGACTTTAATTGTCGTAATATCTCCCAGCAACTGCAAAACAGAATGAGAAATTACAGAGGCCCTGAAGGGATGTTCCTACCATTTGCAAAGGAGGAAACCCAGATATAGAAGGCAGTTTCGTGGTGCATGCAGAGCAGAGGACCCAGGGTGATGGCTCCTAACCTAATCCAATCATTATCAGTACATCTCCTCCTCCCTCACCTCGGGGGCTTCTACTGCCCTGGGTTTTGACTCTGTCCCCTGAGTGCCAGCCCTGGGCTCTTCTAGCATCTGGTTGTCACAGTGACATCATTTATGGCCCATAGGGAGGCCAGTTTGCGTCAAGGAGATAGCCAGGGCCCCCCCTCGAGGACTGTGGGACGTCACTGTCTGCCTCATAGGCTCTGACCTCCAGAGCAAATTCCTTCCCAAGTCACATTTCCAGATAAAACCTGAGCCTGAGAACACCTACCTTCCACTACCCTGGAGGCAAAAACAAAAAATGTTCAGAGAAGACAGTACAGTGTGGCCCAGTCAGCTCCAGCCCAAACTGACAACCAACCTCAGATACCCCTTCTGATCTTGGACCTGCCATTAAGGAACCTCCAGAAAGTCCCTTTCACAATGTCCTATCCTCTAAACACAAAGCTGCATCCATAGTTTATGTATATAGGCAAAGAGGAGCCACCAAAGCTGAGCTTGATACAGAAAGACTAGATGGAAACAGGAGAGGCGGTGATTAGGCCACCCCCAAACAGGCAGCGGGAGCTACAGAGCACCCATGCTCAGAGGTGGCACAGCAGGTACACCCGGGTGGCCAGGCCAGCTCATGTGCCTTCTTTCACCTGCACAGGAGGCAGAGAGGGAACTGGAAAGTGCTGTAGGTCTTTCCTGACCTCTATGAAAGTCTAATCACACACAGTTAAGACCAAAGGGATCACATTAAACTCCAGGATCCAGCATCCCAGAAGACACCAGCAGTCAGAGGGGAGGGAGGTGTACCTCGAAGTCTCTGCCCTGTGACGATGAGCTGGGTGTAAGTGAAGAAACTTGTCATAGTCCCTTTAAACTTGCAGAGTCTAGAACCTTCTATTGCAGCTCTTAGCAAATCAACTTCCCCTCTTAGAGATACACCAGGTATACTCTCTTTACCAACTGGCCAAGCCAACAAATAAACCAGGAAGGGACTGCAGCTCCAAGAAGATACACCTTGCTCCAGAGGACCTGGATGTAATTCCAGGCATGTCTGTCTGACCTTTACAGTAGGAAACAACCACCAGGGACCACCTACCTGACGGATCACAGCACACACGTAGCAAGTTCAGCTCCTTGGGGATCACATTTGACAGTTACATATTTCATAAGATTGTAAAGCAACTCAAGTATTAACACCCTTTGTGATAACCCTTTGCAATGCCAGAGAGCAGCCAGGTGGTAAGGGCTCATGGCCCTTTCTGGGGCCACAAGCTCCTCAGAGAGCAGCTGGACCTGAGACAGGCAGAAAGATGTTGCAGCCCCCTCATGGGACATGGGGACTCTGAGTGGGAGACACTTGGCTTCCACTCCCAGGGCCTATACTGACCTGTTTGATAATTTGGCAATTTCAACTCTCTGGGTCTCGCTTTCTCCATATGATAACATGAAGGTTGTGCAATGTGGCAACATTAATCCTCAAGTGAAACCAAGAAGAAAAGTACTTTTCTTGCCAGGAAGTCAGGTTTTAAAATGCACTAATGACTCCTTTCACATCCTCTTGAGTGAATCGCTACACTGTCCAGCAGAGAAGACAACCACCTCAGGACTAAAGGGTTAAAAACCACTATAGAAAATCACATTCTGATGTTATGCCTTAGCTTCTTCCCTGCAAGTGGATGAGGAGCCAGCAGGTACCAGGCAGCCCTGGGGACATGGTAGGAGGCACTTCCACAGGAACCTCCAGGAAAGTAGGCCTCTCTGGCTAATGCAAAACCAGGCAGCTTCTGAAAGCCAGGAAAACCTTTGTCTACCCACAGAGTGCTCCCTCTTCCTGCTTCCCTGGCTTCTAGGAAAGTAGGAACCCCCTTTTCTCCAGAGGGAGCAAATCTATGCTTAATTACCCTCCAGGAAGAGAGGGAGACTTCCTGCCCCCACCTGCCTTGGACTGAGTCACCGACACTACATGGCAGCACTAGGGCAATGAGGCTGGCATTCTCCAGGGCTCCTGGGCTTGCCTGGAGTCGGCCTGAAACCAGCCTGGGTCTCGGGAGGATCATGGAAACAGCCACAAATTGCAAGGAAAGGTGAAGGAGAACATCCAGGGTTGGCAGCTTGAGATACCATTACGGGTCATCTCAAAAGGCCCCCAGAGAAGCCAACCACACTGCCATTCCCAAGCCTTCTCCATGTCCTCCAGCTGCAAATGCAGGGAGTCCCTCCTTGTGCTTAATCAAAATCCTTCCTGCAGTCATCTCAAGAACACTTGACAATAATTTGCAATGGAAACAAATAACTATGCTGCCCACATTCCAAGCTCCTGCTCTTTCTTCTTTAGGATACATTGTAGGCACCACCCACGCACCACTGAAGCTGCAGAAACAAACCCAGCCCAGTGGTGAGAATTCCTTTTGCTGTACACAAGAAGCTCTGTCAATACAACTGAAGAACGCTGGCTGGGGTTTGGACACCAAGCTTTTAGTCCTGACTTCACAATCACTCGAGGACATTGAAAACCAGTCTCCTCTCCTTGCTGGCTACCACTTCCCCAAATTGAATGGACAGTAAAAGGCTTGTGCCCTTCCTGGTGGCTTCTCATGTGCCCCATCATAGCAAAGCTCACTTCCCCAACTATGACCTTGGCAGAGGGTACCAGGTGAGGACACTAGGACTTGCCAGTAAACCCAAGGAAAAGCCACAAGAAAGAGTCCTCCCATCTTTCAAAGATTCGCTTGCCTTTGCAGAATATCCTTCTGAAATCAACATTGGGAGGTATCCCCCAAGAGGCAGTTCCACCCTGGATGGACTCTCCCTGCCTCTCAGCTTCCACCTATCCCAGCTGGAGGGTACAATGACATCACTTTATCACCTAAAGGAGCGCATTTTCTCCTAGGAAATTTTTTTTGTTAAATGATATTATTGTTGTTAAGAATAATTAAATTTCTTTCAAAAAGCAAATATATATATAAAACTTTAGATGGTCTACAATTCGCTTCTTCTGTTAGTACAGGTCACAGAAGGCTGACTGATTTCTCCTATGAGTTGCTGTGTGTTCCCGGTCTCTGTAATGTTCCTAGACAGGCTGGGGTCACCACCACCCAGCAGGAGGTTTCTAAGGCAGGCAGTGGATGTCGATTGCCATTTAAAGGGGAGGAACAAGAAATTAGAGAGTGGGAGGACAGAAAATGGTTGGGTGAGAGAGGTGAGACATGGGGAAAAATGCTTCCTCCTTTTCCTTTAAATCTGATGCGGGACTTTTCAGGAAATTAAACACCGAGACTATTAGCATCAGATAGAAAACAGATGAGGTTAAGGCATCACAATACTACAGTAGATTCCCTGGGCAGGCAGAGAGGGGACATGTGTAAGCAATCACAGCAGTATTTCTGGAAAAGACCTTTTATGTTTTTAATACTTAACACTTCATAACAGGGACTAATAGGCAGGATAAAAAGAAGGCTGCTCAAAAGGCAACTTGGGGGATGAACGATTTTCCAGACAACAGAGGTGGGGGAGGGAAACTTCTTGAGCTTCAGTTCCTTATCCCTCCCACCCTTGCCCACCCTCCTCTGCTCATTAGAGTAGCTGAAGGCTAGGAGAAGCCAGGTAGGAGGATGGCATGAGGGGATCATTCATGGAGGTGTCCCCATGAAAGAGGCTGTGGCAGGGAAGGGCACACCCATGACCCCAGGGTATCAGCAAACAGAACAGACTGATCTAGGCAGAGACTGAGAAGAGCAGCACAGTCAGGCGCCGCACATGGCACTGAGGGCTCCGTCTAAAGGCGCCTTTCCTTCCCCTGACGGTAACCTCCAATTCCCAGCTTTCCAGGATCTGCAGCACAACTGAGCCTCCTGGCCTTCAGATTCCTCTCCTATGATTTGGGAGTGGCTATACTCTCTCTGCCTGCCCTAGGCAGACCTGCCCTGCCCAATGTAAAAGACAAACATAAAGATGAGCCACAGTGGCGTGGATCATCATACATTTGAAGCAGGACTTGAGAGCCAGAGGTGTCACGACCCCATCTCTGTGTATTGTGACTGTGTGACCTCGAGCAAGGTGCTCAGCCTTGCTGTGTCTCCGTTTCTGCAACTATCAGTGAAGGAATTTGGATGACCAATGTTTCTCCATTGGAGCTCTCTTATTTGGGGAGAGTGAGATGAAGGCTTTGAATGGAACTTTTGGATGTAATGCAGGATAATTAGCATTGTTGTCCCCTGGGCACTAAATGCCAGTAGCAACCACACACAGAGATGGCTACAGATGGTCCTCACATTTTCAAATGCCTGGGAGGCTGGGGGAGGAGGAGGATTATGGGGAAACTGTTGAAAACTAAAGAAGCAGGTAAATAGAACACCTAGGACAGTTCTAGCCAGTTCTGCACCCATGGTGGCCTCGTGCGCCCACAGCACCTGAAGCAGCATGCCACAGGCTTACCTTTCTGTCGTTCATGTCCTCCCCTGTACTATCGTATTCACCCTGTGGGAGAAAAAAGGATGCTGGTTAAAGCCAATGGAATTATCAAGAACAGATGTCAAGTGAGAAAGGATTTTCTTTTTCATTTTCTAATGTCATCCTTTTCTTTCATTCCCTTTAAGGAAGGTCAAAAGCATGGCATGCTAAGAGGCCAATATTCCGTTTTCTTATTGGTCAACACACGCCACATTACTGGGATAACTTCCCACATGAAGACATTCCCCTCCCGTGCTTCAGAGGTCAGCGTGTGCCTCCTCAGAGCCTGCACAGAGGCAGAGCTTGGGCCTGGGAACGGGGTAACACCTCACGTAGAAATCACCTAGCGCCCTGCCGTGTTCCCCCTGGTTGAGAGCTGGCAGAACTCAGCAGTGCCTGTGTCACAGCAAATGCATCAGGAAGGAGAAGGCTCCCATCTGAGCAGTCTCATCTGGCACCGCTGATGACAGACATGCAAAACGTGACCCCTCAGATAAGCTGGGAGGTGTGGAGGTACATAGGTCAAGGGCCACTTAGGTCCTTCATGAACTGTCTTAAAGGATATCTTTGGTTGTGTCATGAAATGTTCCGAACATTACTCCCAGTTATAAAAAAAAATCTTTAATTATGATCATTCTGATTTTTTTTTACTTAAGCAGCAATGTGTAAGGAATTTTGAGATATTTCCTTCAAAAATGTTAAAATAAGAAAATATTGCTCTTATGTTAATATGTACCTGTGTGTTAAGGAGGAATGTCATATCTGCACAGCACTGCCATGGTCAAAATATCTCTTTCAGCCAGTCCTAAAGGTGGTGTTTTCCCCAGGCCTCTGAGCTTCCTCCACCACCACCCAAATCTCCTGCATCACCTGCATGCCACATCTATACAGTTCCACTGTCACTAGAAACACAGGCAGGGAGTGTGGAGAGAGTACAAATAAATCCCAGGTCATTGTGCCATCTGGGGAAATCATTGGAGATGACTGGCAAAATTCAACCAGGGAATTATGTCAGCAATGAGCGATCCAGACTTAGCCAAGGTATTTTAATGTCATGAGTCACCCCTGCTTTGCTGCACACAGTCACCCACTGCATCGCCACTGAAAAACGTGGCTTGCAACTTTGGGGAGACTACTGAGAGTGTGCCGATTGAAAGGGTACTTACATCGTGGAGGGGGTAGGCAGCCTCATAAATATTGTTTGCTATCAGAGAGTTAATACCTGCAGAAGAAAGGGAGATGAAAATAGTGAGTCTGGGGCAGACGCGTTTTGACTTAACTCTTGGTTTTCGATAAGTATAAACCTCTCGCCTGCCTCCCGGCGGAGAACCACCACATCTTCATCCACACCTTTCCAGGCTAGAACTTTTTCTCCAACTATAGTTTTTTGGTATAAAAACAATATTTTTTCACTCCCCAAATGCAAATTTATATTTTAATATCAAATATGCCCTCCTGCATCTCATGTTTCTCCTAGCTTCAAAAATCCAGATCTCTCCAGGCCAATAGCCCTCTACAGCCACCACCAGGGCACAACAGTCACTTGGGAATCTCTGTGTACAGTGACAGGGTAGGAATGGTTATATGGATCCCTTTAATTATGATCCGTAAAAGTATGAGTCAGGGCATCCCACCACACTGTATCTGAACTCACTGCCAGCACCTTCCTGTCCCCTCACAAGGCAATGCTGACTGCCTGTCCATCACTGACCACCCGGAGCCCAGCATCTGTGAGGTAGGGAGGGATGACAGGACCGGAGCTCCCAGATGTGGCCAGGGAGGCCGTGGGAGTCACCACAACCTCTTCCTGGGGTTCATGAGGTCAACGTTAGTTTTACAACAGCACTAAGACGTTATCTGCTTTTTCACTCTTCTCTCACAAGTGTATAGTAGGGTTTGGGGGTGTGTGCTGGCAGCACCCCCCGACAGCTGACAGGATGGGTGTGTGTGCCTCCCAGCGCTCTCACGATGTTGCAGGCTCTGCTCCTCGTGAACCTGCAGCCTGTGTGTTTGTGAGATTCTCACATAAAACCTGGCTGGAAGCTTACAGAGTAAGTATAAAAGGAAGAAGCACGCTGAAGAGAGAGAAAAGAATGCCCCAAAGGAGCTCAGGGGACCTAAGAGTAGTCTCTAAGTAGACAGTTAAGACTTCTTAACGAAAGAAGTTCAAAAGACACCAACTGTGGGAGTCCCCAATACCACCAAGAGACAAGTCAGCATTGGTGAATGATGAAAAAGATGACATGAAAATGGACATTGATATTAAGAGAAACAAAAAGTGTCCTGGACCAGCATGGGCAGTAACCAGTCTGTCAAAGAAGGCAAAGAAAAAGGAGGCAAAGAAAAAGGCTGAAGGCAAAGGGAGAGAAAGGAAAGGGGGAAGCAAAGCAGAGGAGGGAGGGAACAGGGTTTGGCCAGGTGGGCGCTTGAACACTGGAAACACGCCGAGGGAACACGTGCTGGGTTAGGACGCACACCTTGACTTCAGCTCCCACCAAAGGAAAACTATTTGTTTTCATATTTTAACTTGGCCTTTTTTCTTTGATTCAAAACCCAACATAACTCCCAAGTTTAATGTGGGACTATGAAGAGGACATTTTCTTTGATGCATGAAAGTTATACTGATATTTTACTTGGATGCTGTTCATGATCCAGGTACTCCTAGGCACCAAAATTCTCTTAAGAATTTTGGATAAAATTGCTTTTTCTTACAACTCGATAATTAGAGTCAGTAAAGATAAAACAAATTATATGATACTGACAAATGTGAGTGAACTCAGATTTAAAGAAAAATGTAGTTACATCGTTCAAAAATGCAATGATAATGGATCTCATACACTGTACGTGTTTGGAGTTTTCATTTCTGTGTAATCCAAAATAAAAGATGGTTTGTAGGTAAAAAATATTTCTCAGCTCTACCTTCCTATACAACAAATGTTGGTCAATATAGCCACCTACACAAAAGCCCCTTGGGTATTCCCAATTATTTTTAAAAGTGCAAAGGTATCCCGAGACCTAAAAAGTTTGAAAATTACATAACAAGGGATTTATTTTTTGATCCCAGTAGTGTCTGACACCACTTGCACAGAGCAGACCCTGCTAAACAAATGTTAAATAAACAAACGGCTCTGTCCCCTAACTCCAGTGTACTCATAACAGAGAACCTTCTGCCCAGCATAAAGTCGTTATTTACTTGTTTCACTCTTGGTTTTATTCAGAGACTATAAAGTGATCTGTATGTTCTGTCTGAGTCGGGATGGTCTGTCCTGGGTCGCTGGCTTCCAGATGGGAGGGATTATATCTCCGCAACTCATAGTACCAAGGATCCTGCCATATGAGGATCCACATTTAATCACGGAGAGGGAGGAGGCAGGGGGGAGTTTCTGGTACACAATGATTTCCCTTGTCTCGCACTTACTTTCTGCCCTGAACCATTCTTTCCAGAGAGACTGTAGACAGTAGTCAGATGAGGAGATAATTGGTTTTGGAGGGAAAGACGTATGATGTCCAAATGCTAAGAAATCTGCATTTGCATGGCTCTGAATAGACGCCGAGGTTGGATAACAAATCTAGACAACATTTACTCATTAAAATTCATGGCTTTCCACCTCCCGTTCCTCCCCAGTGCCCCACCCACATGCTCAGCGACCGCGGAGGATCCCAAACAGCCCTCTCCCCTCCATCAGCCTCCTCTTCCTCAGACCTTGACACATTCACCGCAGTTCTAGGATGTGGGACACCACAAAGACCTCTCCCTGGGTCCCACGTGCAGAGGCCCCTGGCGGGCTGGGGGAGGGGGGGTAGGTTCAGTGGACACTCTTCCCATGAGTTGAAAGCTGAGTATTCTGGTGCTGCTGTTTCACCAAACAGCCAGTCCTTCCCTGATTTTGAGTTTCCTCCTTGGCATGCAAGTAAAACATGAGAAATAACTTTGGGGATCGAGAGGAGCCAAGGGTGAGTAACAGGAGTGCAGATGGCTGGGGGGGTGGGGCTTGCCCTGGAGGTTCCATGAGCTGCAGATTTGTCTTACTCATGGGACTAAAATTTCATTCCAAGCATCATTAATCAGTTCAAGAGCCATAACCACAGCAATGTGAAGCCACCCTACAATAATCAATGAGAGGGGTCCCAAGTTTGGAGGGGTTTTGAAGCATCACAGACGGGTAGGGCTCCCGTTAGACTGTACCCGAGGAATCTCCCCACCCAACCCCTGTGTTAACAGTCCATAGTTGCCAGAGGAGGTATATATACGATGAAGACAGCTCCGAAACTGCATGGAAAAACTCAAACAGGTGTTTCACCTACTTAGCTCTTCTGCTAATTCTCAGCTTGGCTTTGTACAGTAGCAGACTGTCTGGAAGCATTAGACCAACAACCTGCTTGGTCCCGTTTGCCAGATTCTCGGAAAGATCTCAAGTTATTGGGGCTCTACAGTATGCATCCCACCCCCCCATCTCATAGAAATCTCCTTTTGTGTGGCACAAAAGGAAGTGGGTGACTTGCTTCACTTCTAGGATGTTGTTGGCTCATTGTTTTCTGTTCCCCAGGGACCTGCCAGGCAGCCAGGCACAGCCTCTCACCTGTGTGGCCCACTCTGTCCTCAGCCCTGCGGCTACAGTACTCTCGGCATCTCTTCTGGTTTATTTCTTCCTCACCCCATCACTGGGCGTCCTATGCTGATGAAGACTCTTTACACTCTAGCTCATTAGCCTGCCGCCTAAGATAGGAAGCCTGGGCACAAGGTCCTCTGCCTTGGAGCAAAGACTTAGAAATGAAACCTGAGTTGTCCCAACTCAGATATCCAGAACTTTTGCTGTCATTGAGCATTTCTCTGTCACCCACGGCTGAGTACCTCCTACTTTTCAGGTGGTCTCATATGAGCAATGTCCATCAGCCCCGCTGCAGGGAGGAGG